GGCATGCATCGTTTCTTGTTCGGTCGAATTCATATGTCTTAGGACATTGTAAAGGCACTTTGTCAAGTCGAGTAATTTCTTCATGTTGAAATAATGAATCACTCTGACTTGTAATTCATTGTAGACAGCAGAATTTATTTAGCGCAAGCATTTTGTGATATGATGGTTTACAAAAGCTACAACCAACATATACATATATAGCGCAACGGTAATTTACTTGGCTGTGAAGCAGCCGAGTCTTATATGATTTCTAAAAAGACGCATGGTGACGATTTATTTTGCGAGTCTTCAATGTATATACAAGTACAGAAAATTGTTTACATACATCGTAAAACACATACGTCATTAAACAAGTTGTCTACATTTAACGGATATTGTTTTGTATAGCACAAACGCTTCGGTGCAAGAGCTTTTGCACTGCTTTTGCATTGTTATAAAATATCTACAATATTTACTTTCCTTTACGTAGACAACAAGTTCGTTTTGAAGAAATTAAATATGTATTCTTTCCTTTTTTCCCTGTCACAGTAAATCACGACTAGTGAGGAAACAATTGAATTTTCATGTCGTAACGCTCCCACTTTAATTTCAAAACTGACCAAATCGTAACTGACAATCGTCAAGGTAGCATTTAGTTCGCCCTTCTCAAGGCATGTATTGTGATTTTACACCATTTATTTGAAGCTTTGTTATGCATACGTAAAACATCGCTTGTTATCATATTAAGAGCATTTGTTATACCACATACATCAGTGTGTATTCGATTAAATGGAAGTATCAATAAAATGTATCTGCGAATGTTTTTGATAAGTGTATAGGAAGATATCGTGTAATATATCAAACTGATAAAAGTTATTGTCCGTAAATTCCTTTCTACGAGTAATGTTTTGCGTATTTTGTATAAATAAGGTTGTATGTCTTATTAAAATTCATTGAATTGATTTTTCAACTCATGCCTAGTCAGAGCCAATACTCCGGCGCGTTCTTACACATAATACAACAGCGAGAGAGAGCGGCTAGACTGTTCAAATGTTAGTAATATCCGATTATACTTGTACTTATTTTTTCAGCATATTTTATGGGAAAAATAACTAATTATCGTAACACATTTTATAAAAAATGAAGATTATAAGATATTTTCATGATGCATTGTATATGTGCACAATGACCTTGACATTAGTTTTTGTATTAATATGCTATTTTCTGCTGTTTCATAGCCCATAATGGCCTCCACATGTTATTTTGTAAATATAATTGGAGGAATAGATATAATTTGAATAAAGTAATGAGTCCTTAAGATTGAGGTAAAAATGAAAGCACACGCACTACCCTGTAAGACAGCAAATATAAATAAATCTGTCAAACATTAGAATATTGATTATATCAATATTAGTGTGTTTTCGAACTTCGTTTTTAATGTACGATAGTTGCTTTCCAAATCTTTATCAAATCTATTACTGCACACTACAATCACTAGTGGTCAAGGAAATTTGATTGAATTTCAGCACAGATGAGTGCTATCGGCACTTTATTTTCTAAATAATGACATATATGAAGCTGGCAACCATGTGCCTTATGACTACAATTTTGGTCTTTTATATCACTTCTATACAATCAATCAGGCACTGTTCCAGGCTCAGGACAGGTCTTTTTATAATAATATACATCCGAACAGACTTTCCTGAAGAGACACTTTCGAAGAACATGCATGTACTATTTCGGTTTAGAAGCGAGCACAAATCTGACTAAAGTTAAAGATTTACTTATATTTTCCATGTAGGATCCGCATGAAACACGTTATATGTTTTTGCCTTCTATATCATTCGGATTTCCCGAGAAAGCTTATTTAATTCATCAATCAAACCGTTTTTTTTGCCAGATCGGCATTACAAGAAGTAGAAAAAATATCCGTTTTACCTTTTTGGTTTGATTTTGTTAGAAAAAAAAAATGTTTGAAGAAATTTTTTAACAGATTGACTTGAAACAATGGAGTCCAAAGGTCACAAGAAATGACTTCATATTTGGCTTCACGCGTCAGATCTAAACAGCGGCAGCGTCTAATTTTGAGGCTGATATTTAGTTAGATTGGATTTTTAGGACATATTCCTTAGATTTAATATCTTGACAAGATCAGATATTAAACGACTGTTTTACAATATGCTTTAAAATTAAGATAATTAAAGTCAATATCAATTGAAGCTAAAGATATTTCATTTTTGCGGAATATTTGCAAACAGACGAATGCCAAATATGTATATGTTTCCAATAACAAACTATCATTATTCTGATTAGGAAAGCTTAATACTGTTATTTATCAGTAAAACCAAAAAAGTTGCCTTTTCTTTCCAAAATAAGCTTTGATTTTAATTAATGGGGCTAAAGAATATTCCAGACTTCGTGACTGTTGATATCACAATTGCGTTTAGTTTTTATTTAATTCTTGGAATGTCTTGGCCTCACATAACAATTATATCATAAAAGGACACATAAATGGGGAAAAAGCTTAATATAAGTCTTACGTTCGAAAACCTCTGCCGTATAAAATGATTAATTTACATATAAAACCAATTCCGAACTTCTTCCTTATTCAATATCTTATTAAGCTACCAGATCACAAACGTTGAAGTTTTGCATATTTTGGTGTATCGTGTATCCAAATTCATTACAGTAATGGAAATGTTGTTTGCTTTACAAGTTGGCTATTTCTTATGTAAATTGTAGAAATGAGAAACAAATAATCCAAGGGAAAAGAAATACAATCCAAACGGACTAAACAAACTACTACAATTAATCATAGGCACTTGCTTTTGAGATAAAAACCCTTTTGAGAGGCTTGTAGAACTTAAATTTGATTGAATGTAAGAATTTTCTAACGTAGATGTTTCGAATCTAAAACTATTATTTTTCTGATGTTACATTTGTTTAGTAACATTAGAAAAATAACGTTAATTACGTTAAATATCGTTACATTCACTCAAATTTGAGTTCTACAAGTCTCTCAAAAGGGTTTGTTTTTATCACGAAATCAAGTGCACATTCATTTAAATTAATTTGAAAATCTATTAAAAATTATTTGTTTTGTTATAAATAAGCGATTAAATCTGATGTTCAAATTGGACAAAATTATTGGTTTGCAATTTGATACAGTGATAATAATAGCTATAATACGGGTATGTGAATGCGCCATATTACACGAATCTAACAGCGTTGGAGGCCAATTGAAAGTACAAGCCGTGTTTTATCAGGTTTGTGTTAGGTTTTAATGCGCACAACACAAGTTAAGGTCATATTGCGCTATTAGTTCTTAAAGTTAGCGAAATATTAATACGCCGGACTTAATATTGCCGTTTAAGTGATAACTGTTTGCCATTAGTATTTAACGTAATAAACATTTTTTCATTTTAAAATAAAAATTGTCATTGGCAATGGTAACCAATCCAACACTGCAACATAAATTATTACTGACAATAACAAAGTTTATGAATGTAATGAGTTAAAATGTCATTTTGAGTTTGAAAGTGCGTTCAGCAGTTACTAAAAGGCATAGTTTAAATGTAAATTTCACCTTAGAATATTCCATTATAGAACGACGAATTTTAACAGTCCCATTTACAGGTAGCGAAGTTCGTTACTCATACAATAGACACAATCTCTTAAAGTTGTTAAGTTCATTTCGAGGCTTACTCTTCATTTAAAGAACGCTTTAAGACTTTCAATTAAAGACACATTTTGCCTCAAAAAACAAATAATTTTCACTTCCAACATGAGATTAATAATGTTTAAATGATGATTTGGAAGATTTTAGATGCTTGTTACAAGAATGAGGTAGCGATAAATGTGAAATAAGTTGTCATAAAAGAAGCAAAATGTAAACAAAGTAGTATTTTGATATCAATACGCAATTCAATAAACTGTAAACGTTTTTGATACTTTAAAAGACACAAAATTAAGAAAACCCGTTTGAGAAATAAAAATAAAAGCATTTCTGAGGCATAATGGGCCTTTAAAACTCTGCAATACTGTTTTGATCTTAACACCCATTAATAACAAACAAAAACATTTCATTAGCATAAAGATTAATTAAAAAATCATTTAAAATCACAGAAAAAATGTTTCCATTGCTTTATGCCAAAGAATTATAGCACTTAAGAGAAATTGTTTACGACATGTTATGTCATTATCACTTTTCACAAAATGTTGTTTGATGGAGATGAAATCAATTTCTTAATTAACAAAGACAATGCTTTTTCACTGATGATGAAAAATAAAAAAGATGAAGTTTTCCTGTAATAAGAGCATTACAGTAGCAACATTTATTTTTACTTCGACTTACTGACGACGGAAGTTTTTTTTTTACGAATTTCTCTAGTAATAATAGTATATAAATAACACATGGGTTTGTGGGTAACAGTAAACATATCATCCCGAGGAAAATACTGTTACCCGTCTAGAAAACCGACATATTCTTGCTTAATATTATATAATATTGTGCAACATATAACATAACGTTTGCACTTAATTATCATAAACTGATTTCTTTTCTTTCAAATGTGTTTTAGGGGTTCTTTAGGGGGTTTGGTTTTCTCTTTTTTATTGTATTGAGTCAGACTCAGTTTGTATTAAGTGGTTTATGGGTATTTAGTTGTGGGTATCATGTACAATATCACCGTTATACACAAATCTATGCTAATAAAATCTGATCTTGCATATTCGTATCTATTCTTTTTGTTACCTATGGTGACCATCTTTTTTACATTTACATTTCTACTGGCGCTATATTTGTATTGAGATTACAGGTAAATAGGTAAATTAAGCTTAAACAATACTCAGCGGTCTTTTACAGGTTAAGAAAAGTGTTAGATAAAAGTGTTGGAGGTTTTAGATCATAACATCACATAACAAATACACATGTGATTAAACAACACCAACAACAATAAAAGCAATGGAAAAGGATTAAAGATCTTATAGTATAGTCTCGAGAAATAAAATGATTGTCCAAAGAAATCATGTTATCTCAAGTTATTGCTTCATTTGATTTGATGTAATTGAGTCTCTTTGAACAATAAACAAAATGAACAATATTAAAAACCAAAACAAAGAATTTAATACCCAGTATCCTCCTTTATTATATCAACTCATTTCACATCTTATATTATTGTAACCAGACAGAAACTGACAGACAAAATACAACTTATAAACACGTCTAGTCTGATGTATTACATTCAAGTATGGTGCTTGTAACTATGGCATCAAATTCTTCTGGTGTTATAACTCCATCTTCTGAAAGAAATACAGAAACAAACAGATAACATACATATTTATGTTTTTGTCATAACCTTCACTTCAAACTTTTTTTACTGTATTTGTTTCTTGCGATTTTTATATTTGGAACGATGCACGCTATTATTAAAAATGCAAATAATTTTAGTAAAGTCGCATTACTTAAACATTGGAATTTTGCTTTTTTAAGTACAACTGATAACAAACCTTTGACTATTTCTAAATCGTTGAACAAGGCTTCAGTTACTCTATCAGTGCCAAGTTTAACAAACAACTCTTCCTGTGTGATTGTTCCGTCATGGTCGATATCGTAGGTTTTGAAGGTACATGGATCTTCTTGTAACTTCACACGGTAATTTGACCCTTCCTACATGCAGAAGAAAATAAATTGTAAGCTGATAATACATTTAGAATTTATCGGTATTTGTGTCATCTCACGTGTCAGGTTCTAAGAACAAAGTCATTGGAAATATTTTCTTTGAAAAAACTTTGTATTGTTTGATAATTTCAATTTAATCATTTTAATTTATAGGACTTAAAGTTTGACACATACCATTATTGATTCCAAGGTATTTTATGTTATTCATGAAAATATTACACGCAGTTTTCATGTGAACAAATATATTACAATAATAAGTTATTATAAAATAATGTTTTTGTTCCAGAAAAAATGAATGTACCATGCAAAATAAAATGACCAAAACTCTATTCAGAAGAGTTGCTTGACTATTTTTGAAGTGTAAATAATATACACGATACATGAATGTAACCACAGACATTAAATGTAGAAAGTCTGGTCAGTTGTGCAACAGTATGTTCCATTCTTACTTGGAATGTAAAATAAAAAAAACTAAGACAAACTAAAAATATTGTTGATTGTTATCAGGACTATGCACACGTAGATAATTGATTGTACTTAAATTTTACGTACTTATAAATATAGCCTGACAAATGCATTTCACAGAAGTTAATGAAATGGGTTGCTTTTATAAAATAAATAATTTCTCAACACAATTTAATAACATTTCAACGAAATTATACTTGTTATTACATAAATATTATTAGGCATAACACAGAATACCTGCTTATATTTCAAGGCATTATATAACATTCCTGACAATTTTAGTCATTAAATGAAATTACTAAAACTCCTTGTTATTTTACTAAATGCTTTATTTTTTCATGGATTTTACAAAATGTTTACGTTCAGAAAATGCCTGTAACATATAGATATACAATTATATATAGGTAATTTCGACCACAGTGATTTAAAATGTTTACCATTACTAAACGCAGCTCATGTGTGTCTTCTGATATTTCTTGTGTGGAGCGCCGACATAGTCTGCCAGGTCCACATGGACCGCTGTTACAACCATAAACAAAACAAACACTGGATAGAAGAACCAATATGGCCTTATTGTCCTGAAAAAGGTAATGGAAAAGTTATGTTTGATTTGACATACATTTAACTATCTGCTTACATGTTTTTTTGTTTGGTTTTTGTTTTTTTTTGTTTTAATTTACATTGAATATAACAAATTAAGTCGTGAAATTTGTTAACTGTTCTATTTTACAGTAAATAGAAGATGAATTATCAAAAGCCAATATTGCCAAGATCAGACGGTTTGTTAATTAAGCCGTGAGTCTGCATCAGCAATATACATGGAATATTTCAAAGGGTTTTCAGAGTCTCACAAAACAAGTAAATTGTCAAAATAATCGATATATAAATCAAACTATTCGAACACAAACATTTTTTCCGATGAAGACTATAATTAAAATTGAATAATCTACTTTTTAAAACAAAACTTTGAGGCCTCTGAAACATGTAGCAATTCAAAGACTTAACAAGTGAAAAGTCCGTTTGGTGTCAACAAACGTTTAATAGATTTATAAAAAAATACATAGAACAAGATTTACGGAACGTCGGTGGTTCTACTCAGGTGCCCGTTCGTGCCTGAAATAATGCACGAAAGGGCACCTGAGGTCTTCCTCCATCAGTAAAGCTGGAACGTCGCTATATGACCTATACTGTGTTGATGTGACGTAAAACCCAAAACAAACAAACAAACAAACAAAGAACAAGATATAAATGTTCTTCTTAATTCAAAATATATCTTAATTTAAAATTCATTTAAAACAACTACGATTTTGATAAAATTATTTTTGTTTGGTTTTACTTCGTACCAACACATTTAAGGTCATATGGTGAGTTTCAGGGAAGACCTCAGGTGTACCTCCGTGTATTACTTTAGGCATGGATGGCTACCTGTAGAATTAGCTAAAATGACAGAGCAGATTTGACAAATTTATAACAAATGAAAATATAAACAACTACATTTTTATTAGCTCGTTTACTAAATTGTCGAACTTGACAAGCATTTGATCAACAGCGGAACATTTATGTTTTATTTTAGTGATATTCCTTTAAAGTTTAAAATCACATTTTTTATTTAATGATATTCTCTTTACCTTTAATAAAGGCAATAAATATTTCTCCATGTTTTACTGAAAGTACAGACTTACCATAATTCATTTCTCCTAAATATTATGTTCCTTTTCGGATACCTTTTGCCTTCTACGAAAATAATCGAAAATGAATCACCTCTGAACGTATTACTTTAAAACAGGATGGTTTGAGGAAACAGGAATGAATCATCATGACGCTTAATTTCGTTCAACAAAATTTATTTGTTTATTGTAGTCATATTATATGTACAACATATATTCCACTTAAACTAATTTACTGACCTAAATGTTAAGTTTTTGAAAATTAATTAGTCATAATATCTGAAATCTCCGTTTAAACTTTCTGCCATTTTAAGACTTTGACCACATGAATCACTATTGTATTTTTATGCACACACTTTGCACAGATAACGTGCATGTCAATACACTATTAATTTAACCAATATTTAAAAAAAACTGATCCTTTCTGATAACAAGGATGTGTAATGTTGTTCTTGTCTATTACATTATGCCTAACAAGTAAGGTCATCCAAATGCGATATATATATATATACATTATATTTACATAATCATACTTTACCTTAAACCTCGAAAGAATGTAGTTAGTTAGTGTTAATATGTTGTGTCCATATGCCTATATATCCAATATATCATGTTTACTTTAATGTCATTGTAATTCTTATGTCATTATATATGTATGCTTGTATATATATTACCGTACCGTTGACTTAATGACCAGTACCGTTGGCCTAGTGGTTAAGGCGTACGCCTTCGGATCGGGTGGTCGAAGGTTCGAACCCCATGGAGCGTTAATTGAAGGATGAATATTTCTCGTGGGACTCGTTCCGAACTTGCCTCTTCGTGAGCCGCAAGGTAGTTAAAATGAATGGTTACCGATTTCTATCCGCCTGGCGTCTAGCATAGTGGTAGAGGTTGGGAGGTACATGGTATGCAAGCAAAAGGTGTCTCATAAGTCAGAATGGCTCGCCCATTTAGTAGGGGTGACACTATAATAAACAAGACTTTTACCTTTACCTTATATGTTAATCACGAGAAACTTGTAGTTCTTCTATATCTACTTCTTCTTCTTCTTCCTATGAATACTTAAACAAATATATATTATGTATACAGTTTTGTAATTATTGGCAAACCACAAGTCACTATAATATGTATCTTATCTGTTCAATTAAAATTGAGTGTTTAAGGAAAAATAGTATCATTTTCTAAAGTCGAATGACTAAGAATAATTGCTTAACATTCGTATATTTTATTAATAACTTTTCAATATTAGGGACGTTTTCACTTCAATTGGAAGGCTAATATGAAGTTCAGCAAGGCATTATGAACATAAAACAAGGCCATTCTGCAAAAAGTACGGCCTTTATTAGAAAACTCGGCTATTATGAGATTGATTGGATCTCCAGCCATTATGAATCAGCTTTCTTTCTTTTTTCAATATAAAAAGACGCCATTTTTAATTGCTGTAAGGAAGATTTCCGAGACATTTTCAAAATAATTATCTCATTTGCAATACCTCACAACAACGGTATTTCACATTATGTATATTTTGTTCTCCAAGTACTTAACTTTTTTAGATTATGTGTAGTTAATTTATAAAAATGTCAATAATAAAGTGATTTCATAATGGCATTGTTATTGGGTTTTAGACTTTCATATTAGCCCTCGTCCTTTGGCCTAAGGCTAATATGAAAACAATTATAAAAACAATTCATTATTTACATTATAGTAATGTACAAACAGAAAATTGTCAATAATAAAAAGCTTGCATCTAAATAAGTTCGAGTAGACTTTGTACTTTACAATTCAAAGTTTACAATATGATAATTATGATCCTTGAAGAATCTACTTATGGTTAACATTAAAGCACAATAATGTATAATAGTTCGAAAAAGCATAGGTTTAAATCAAGATTTATGATCAATTTGATGTAATGATTATCATAACGATATCGATTATGTAAAGAGATAAACGCAATTATTCCCGGAAAAGATGATACAAGAAAAGATCTCCTTTTATACAAGATACAAGATTTTTTAAAAGAAAGGCTGCACATTTTTATGGTGTTACTCTGTTACTGTACATGCTCGTATTCTAACACTTGGATGGCCAATTAAGTAAACTAAAGGGTTGGTAATAAATTAAGTTTAAACACGAACATTTGAAAAATATCATGTGCACGAATATCATGTTTACAAATAATTTATAGCACTTAAAAAAAATACTTCGTACATGTACTACTTTAAAACCCCATCTATGAAATTGTTTTCGGAAATCTAATTAATTACGTCTTTGTTTACATATGTAAGTAGGCGTGATGTTAACCACGTTGTGGATAAGCTCTTAAGAGTATAATACAACATACAATATTGTTTTGTGAATTGATTTAAGAATGATGACTTGAAATTCAGTTGAGTGGCAAAAACTCCAAAAAAAAGATGACTCATATTTGCGTTTCAAAACTTAACAACTTAGCTATGATTTCATAATACATTGTTTGAAATTTGATGTAGTTAAGTAAACTTTGATCATTTCATTCCTTAGACCTATAAAATAGTAGATGACGACCAATAAAAGACTAAGATCAAATCCTAATGTACAATATGGACGTGATATTTAGAAAAAGTAAGAAAAGTAAAATTGATTCTCATGTATAATTAGTTGAGAAGGCATTTTAATTTCAGTTTATTTTATCTACATCAATAAATTTCAAATTAACGAATCGAACTTATGCATAACCGAGGTTAACATAATTATTTCACACCGTTTTATTGCCATTGGGGTAGTATCAAATTAAAAACTACATGATAGATACTAATTGAAATATTTTAAGGAGCGTTTTGCCATTTCATTTGAAAAAATAATACATATATAACTAAATGGTATACATTTCTGTACCATTTCATGCCACAGGATGTTTCGACTCGGACTTCTAGCTCTTTTTCTTAGTAAGTAATATTTCCGTTAATTATTTATGTACGAGTACATAAGATAGATAGCTTGTTCATTAAATAATATCAATCAATCAAATAGTTTCTTAAATGCATCTTTAATCTTTTAAATCAAAATCAGAAAAAGAAAATCAGAATAGTTGTTAATAAACGTCACTATAACTTTGTTATACACATAGGATAACAATTACAACATGCTTCGTGTCATTTTTCTATCTTACAATTAGACTGTATCTAAATTATGACTTACCATGTTTTAACCAATATTGAGTTGTATTCTATATTAAGGTGAATTCTGCTTATTGATTAACTCCTTATAAAAGGATAGTTTTTGGCAAAATATTACCATAAAGATCAGGGTCTTTATCTTTAAACGATGATTTTATATTAAGGGTGTTGCTGTTTGATATGTGATGTTTTAATATTCAACTAAAATAATGTTCAATGTAATATTTATCTTCAATGCTAAAATGTATGTAATTGTGCACAGATGAGACTATAATAAATCAGTGAATTAAAATATACAAATAAACATTATTATTTTGACGGTTAAGAAAAATTGAATGTATTGATTTTTTGCTGTCATTGAACAGATTGAATAGTATTATAAACTTTATTTTGTTTGAAATTCTGAATTCCATTCGCCATATTTTTTGAAATTTTGGCTCATTTGTATGTACTGTACGAGCATATATTTTCTTCCTTTGCTCATTTATCACCATACTCGAGCGTGTTGTCGTGCGAATGTTTGTATAACTAAATGTTCTCAATGTGTGAATAAAATTCACGGATGACTAATTTAAAAAATCAAGTTCGTTGTAAAAAACCTAATATTAAAAAAAATGATTGAAAAAAATAAAATAAAAGAAAAAGGACCTTTTCCAGGATGCGAACCATGGTTTCTATATTATTTTATCTATTTATTATCTATTTAATAGACATTTATCTATTTTATAATATCATCCGTGTTATGTTTGCCGTGTGGCGGCTGTAAAAAGTCTCCCCGTACATTTAATTAATAATGTTATATTTTCGATCTTTGAAGATCGTTCAGCACGACATTATTGTTGTGCTTGTGGTATTTTTAGTTTCAACTTTTCGGCATTTTCTAGTTGGGTGGTTCCAATATTCCTACTTGAATAATGTTTAATCACCCTTAGGATATGTTGCCTGCTTTTAAATTTGTCTTTTGACGTCTTATCTGTGATACGTAGGCTTCATAACCTCCGATCCCCTTTAAAAATTCTATTTTATTTAGTTTCGCTCATTGTTTTCTCGTTTAGGGCACACGCTTTTTATTACTTGGGGACCATACGCAGCTTTTCATGGAATGGCACGGAAGTGTCACATTGAATATCCGCCGTATGAACATCTGCGGATGTTTCTAAATTTGAAAATTTTACTATTTCATGTTTAAATGTTGAATTCTGCTAAAGCCGGTGCTAGGGGGTGTGGACAGTATCTTGCACTTTCCAGTACCGTCCATGAACAGGCTCAATCAAACCGAGCCTGCAACATTTTCAATTTTGCTCTGTTGGGCTTTCTTTAGGGATTCTGTATTTATCTATTCTACACTCACAGATCGAACACTCTACAATAACGCCATTATGCTAAACGCATAAAAATGATTGAATAGGTAGCGATATATAGTATACTTTAATATAAGCTACAGTCTCACTTACATCCCGGCAGAGCCCCGGTAGACGTCCAGGGTGATTCAGGAACGACCGGGGTACGACAGGGAACAACTGGAGTACATCCGTAACCCTGCCGGCAACGTCCCGGATGATCCGGGAACATCCAGCATTCGACCCCGGAAGGAATAAAATATTTAATATCACCGGGGTGGTCAGGGATGACCAGGGGAAGGTAAAGCTTTGCCGGCTTCATCCTTAGCTCTGCTGGGAACCACCGGGGTTATACCGGGGAAGCACCGTAGCTCTTCCGGTACAAACCGGACATGATCCGGGGAATGATATAGCCGGTAGAGCTACGGTAGGGCTACGGTAGAGCCCCGGTATATGCCGGCAGAGCCCCGGTAACTACAGGCAGAGCCCCGGATGATAAAGGTAGAGCTACGGTTGATCCCGATAGAGCCCCGGCAAAGCCCGGATCCTTTCAAAAGATATTATATTAAATAAATAATATGTATCAAAGTTACCATTTTGGGGCGTTTTCAATCTGCTGGGGTTCTACCGGGGCTCTGCTTGGATCGTCCTGGGCTCTGCCAGGGCTCTGCCTGGATCGACCGGGGCTCTGCCTGGGTCAACCGGGGCTCTTACGGCGTCATCCAGGAACGACCGGGGAAGCACCGGCATGAACCGTAGCTTCACCTTTGCTCTACCTGGATGATTCGGAGCGCATCCTGGGTGGTTAGTTGTGAACTACCGTAGTGCTGCCGGGGTAAGTGTGACTGCAACAATAATTTCACCCCGGATCGTCCCGGAACATCCCGGTAACCTACCGAGATGGTCCTGGGCTCTGCCGCGAGTAAGTGAGACCGCAGCTTTAAGAATAATAGACACCCCTATTGGTCGATATTGATGTAAGGAATAGCGAATTCGACCTGTATATAGACGGATATTCTGGTTATACAAAAATGTTGCACCGGGTCACGAAACTGTGTTGTACATCTGCAAATTAGTTAGGAAACATAGTATTTTGAGATATTTTTAGCCATGACAATCATGTTCGTTAAAGTTCATATTTCATTATATTTACATTGACATGTGGTAGATTTAGTTGATTTACATTATATTACATTATCATTAAACAGATTTAATTGATTAAATACATTATATGCAATATATTTAAATGATTTACATAACATTTATATTGTCTTTGGATAAATCTATCGTGTAATTTATTTAATCCCGAGAATCAAAATATAATTTCACGGGTCTGTTTCGGGTATGTTCGGCTATTTTCCAGTATCCGTGAATCGACTTGATAAGATTCCAATCATTTTCATCGTAACAATTAGTCAAATATACTAATGAAGAGTTAAAAAATATACGATATATATAAAAGATCGCTTTTTGTACAAATATCTTGCACCTTACATGGACATTATTTTACAATTTGTCATTATTCGCTGTTAATTAAGTTCAAACAGATTTTTCTCCCTGGGGCATGATAATTTGATACTCGTCGACCAGTAAAATAACTAGTTTTTTTCAGTATATAAGATAAGGTAAATTGCACATTAAATCAAAGTGGACTGAGTTTTCAATATCAAAATTAACAAAGTAGAAAATAAATTAAAACACTGTTGCATAATTAAAAAATAAAAGTAGAAATACTTCGTCTTTTTACAATTTCTTCGAGTCTGTTATCATTTTTTGCTAGATGACAAACAGTTATGCAGACATAGTGATTAATATATTGCAAACATTCAGAAATTATTCTTTTCTCTATGTGTAAAAATAATTTTGTAACGTTTGTAATTTTGTTTTTGAATTGTGTCAAATCTTTAACATTTTGTAGCACTTTAAAAATATAGACTTTTTAGATAAAATATTTGATATATTCAATCTGATTAAATACGTTTGAATTATTAGCCGGCATACAATCACTGATTCTGACCATGTGACCAGTGCAGACCAAGATCAGCTGGCACTTTCGCACCGCTTTTAAGTCAGTACATATTTTGATATATTCCCTGAATAATGAATGGTCTCTTGACAAGACAATTGCAATATTCAGCGTCTTAAGAGATAAAAGAAAAATACACATGGTCATTTTGTTTATTTCGACCCATTGTGTTCTTGTTTGTGGTACACGCATTCTGTTACTTTTCATGAAATGGCACGAACGTTTAACATTGAAGTTTTTATAATAACTGTCGTATGAACACATCTCAGGCGACTTGTTACCATTTTCACATTTAAATATTACATTCTGCTAATGCCGGTGCTAGGAGGCATTGGCAGAAGCTTCGTAGCTTACACTTTCCAGTACTGTCAATGAACAGGATCAATAAAACAAAGCCTGCAACATTTACAGTTTTGCCGTTTTGGGCGTTCTTAAGAGATTATGTTTATCTCTATTTTTTATTCAAGTTTTTGTGTCATTTGGTAATGGACTTGCCGATGAAATCAGTGAGCGCATCAAAGGGCCAGGAATGGAAAATACTTCCCCTGGAGAATTCAAGTTTTTGGTAAAACTCAAGAACAAGAACACAAGCAAATTGATTGGTGCTGGCATTTTGCTTAAGTCAAAAGTTGTGTTAAGCATTGGTTACAACTACATGGATATGAAGTAAGTATTTAATATACATTCCGTATATTTACGAAATTTTGTTTTATATCAATTTTTATTTAAATTTATGTTTAATAGAAATTTTGTATTTTTGAGAAATTATATCAGTCTCAGCAATGTTTTTTCGGCTTCTCAGCACTGGTTTGGTAATTTGGCGTGTATGAATTGCCCACGAAAGTCGTAGTTAAAAAGACTAAGCCGTGTTGAATGCCCGATAAACACCGCTCAGACCAATACTATTTAGATTCAAACATGTCAAAATAAAACTAAAACTATTTTTTCAAGCATATATCATTTCCGCTGCAGATTTTCGTATAAAACTGTTCTATTTCACAACCTTCTGTCGCTATAAAGGTATAAAAATGATTAAACAAAAGAAATAATTAGTGCAAATGTCTCTTCTTGTTTGCCATGAGTTATGTGTTAATTTTCAATAATTTTTAAATATGATGTATATCAACTGATGTGGATAAAATCTTTGGTGTTAAATGATCCTTGTTCACTTGAACATTTTCCAGGATGGCGCTGTAAGTATTAGCCATCGTCAAAGGCAAAATGCAGAGTTTCATCTAATACTACTTTTTCAAATAATTTAAATACTGGATATGACTACAATTCGTATAGAATAAAGCATATCTTGTTCTTGTAAATGACAACACTTGTTTACAACATGAGAGTAACAATGCAAATGTTCGTTCACAACCAACAATTTGTAATATGCATTATAAATGCATGTGCACACGGGGGAGGAAGTGTTAGCAACGAAGAAGATCACAAATGAAAAGGTCAATATGTACGAATTAGCAAGTAATTTAGTAATTTTTCTCAAAACTTGCAGATTTTTTTTTAAAAAGGCGACAAAATATAAACTAAAAGATTTTTTCTGAAACGAAATACAATATGTAGGGCAAGCTTAATTATCAAAGTTTGATTTAGCACCTCAAACTCCCCATTTGAAGTTATAAATAACCATTTTTAGGCGAGTTCTCCAAGTATATAGAAAAGTTTTAGACAGAAATCCGTAACGTTTTTTAGGAACTCCGTGACAGTTATCATAAGAACTCTAAACAAGTTATCGTAAGAACTCCATCCTTCGTGTAACACTTCCTCCCCCGTGGTACAGTGAATATTAATTAGATCTATATATACAAATTCAGGCCGGAAGACCTTGTAGTTGTCCTTGGAGAGCATGACAGAAAGGACGACAGTTTCAGCCAGACTATAGACGTGGATACTATAAAAGTTGTACGTATTACCATAACTATATCACTTCATGTCTCATGTGCAAGACGGAATTTGCCGAAAATGTATAACCGAAGCTTGTGCAGTCTTACAATTTCGTTCTTGCAAAAACTTTAATTAGGAGCTTTTAATATTGACGAAATTTACGAGTAATATACCATGATATGTATGCCAAATGTGTTATATTACACTGAAATAAGCAGGTAAAATGTGACTGAGACAATTTTACGAGGTAACGCAGATTTCGTGAATTATGCATTAAAGCAACGCCGGTTAAAAGTATCTAATATAAAGTATTGAAACATGTATTTTATGACACTATTAATTTTGCAAACGTGTGTGATATGCCGAATATCAAAACAAAGAAGTCATTACATTATTGTACTAATAATATCGAAGAAACACAAAAGCGGCCTCCTAAACTGATCAAGAATAATTTTATATAGTATACTATATACAAGGAACATCTTTAAGTATTATGTAACAGCATGCCTATGTGTTTATTTATCTCTTTAAATTTGATTTACTATAAAAATTGTTTGATCCGTTCACGTACAATGGTATTCATTTCAGCCATAGCTTTGCGCAGATTCAGCGTTTTTTTGCACAATCCCTACGTCATTATTTTCAGATTTTTGCTTTACTGGATATGCAAAATAGCTAATAAACATAACTTTTTATCTATGAAATAAGTAACTGGGAAAAGGTGTCTATTTTTATAATCATAAGAATAGATTTTTAATATCAAAATTATCTTAATATCTTCTGCTGCGAATCTAATTATAAAAGTCATTGCCAGATGGTTTTCCTTCTTTCCGGAATATTTATAAAATTATATCCTTCACTGGTTCTTTGAAATATTTTTTATACGGCATAATGAAAAGAATCAGTAAGTAATGGCAGAATGCATTCTGTTATTGTTCTATTAAAGCTTGAAAAACAATCATTTAAAGACATTGGCAATCTTATCACAAATACGCCGGAATTTTCTAAATGACTGAAAATAACACAGAAAACTAGAAAATGACCATTTAAATTTATAATAGGCAATTTCAGTGTGTATGGGTGTTTATAAAATATAAAAATTTGATTTAGTTACTAGCTTCTTATCCTGGCATTAGAGGATATCTAGATCTAATAAATATATTCACTTTGAATTCAAATTTCGCTGTTTCAATCCGTAGCGAGAATTAATCTCAATCTTTGTTTTTGTATTTTTTTCTATTGTCTTGAAATTGAATTTATGTATGCATGCGTAAGTTTTACATGGTAGAATCATAATTGAACGATCAGTATTTACGTATTTAACTTTTCAATAAGCTAACATTCTATGCGGCCTGCATAGTTTTATCCCCCATTTACGTCACATCCGGTAAGGGAAGTAACTCTTCCCTGACTGTTATCGCTTAAATGAAAGGGTCTATAAAGCAAATAATTTATAGTTTCTAATAATTCATTTTCAATGTGATATCCATTTGTCCAAATTTCATTGTACACGCATAATAAAAAATTGACATTCCTTTCCTATTATAATATTGAATATCTTAATTCTAAAATATTGTGAGTATTTGAAACAGGGTACATATTACCTCACGTTTGATTGAATCTATTTCCAAGCACCCACAGTTGATAAAGTCACTTGGAACAGTTGCTGATGTTGCTTTATTCAAACTGTCAAAGAGACCCAAAATAGGCGATAGCTACTTAGTTGAGGTAAGGTTTAAGATTTGATTTCAGGACCATGTTTGCATTACTATTTTCTCTTTCACTGTATCATAGTTTGGGAACCTTTCTTTTGTTAAATTGTATACATATACATGCACAGTATGATAACTGGAGTTCAGGTATAGGTTACCCGCACTCCAAAGCATGCCCATTGATTGGCTCATTTTTCTGGGGTTTACTTACTGTGACGGCAGAGAAAGGGAAAGCGATTGAAATACCATATTCAGATGGACGTTCATTTGTTACTTTTTTTTCTAGGGTTTCATAATTTAACAACAGGGAACGAGTTTTTATGTTTGCCTGTGATACAAAAGAGAAAGAACATCAAAACACCATGCAATCTGATTAATACTCGGGGCTATGCTCCCACGTACAAATCAGATAGATTATTGTTTCGATGCTCTCACTATAACATAAAAGTCTATAAAAAGGCGGCATAATATGAAAGATACAATAAAACAATTTCAAAATATCAAGCCGTTGCTGTATCGATACTTCATTAGAAACAATTTCAAAATATCAGGACGGTGTGGTATCGATGCTACATTTGAACAATGCCAATATATAGATGATGCAGTACTGATAATTCATTAGAACAATGTCAATCTCAGGACGGCGCGGTATCGATGCTACATTAAAACAATGTTAATATCAGGACTGCGAAGTATCGATGCTACATTAAAACAGTCTTAGTATCACCACGGTGCTGTATCGAATGCTACATTCAAAAAATGCCAATATCGGGACTGTGCGGTATCGATGCTACATAAGAACAATGACAGTATTAGGACGTTGCGGTATCGATGCTTCAATAGAATAATGTCAATATTGGGCCACTGCGTTATAGATGCTATACTAGAACAATGTCAATATCAGAACAGTGCGTTATCGATGCTACATTAGAACAATGTCAGTATCAGAACGATGGTATCGATGCTACATAAGAACAATGTTGAATACTGCCAATATTGAGACGGTGCGGTATAGATGCTACATGTACATTAAAACAAAAATAATATCAGGACGGTGCGGTATCGATGCTTATTTAAAACATTGTCAATATCAGACGATGAAACAATGTACAAAGATGGTGTGATATGATAACATTGTATCATGATGTGATTTTGTTTTTCACATAATGATATCGTGACATTTCATTTCTGAAAGTATGTTATTCGATCACCGGAACCATGTCATGCTGTTATTTAAAAAGTGTTATACAGTTATCGACATTGTGTAATTTTATATTGTAATGGTTCCACGGGGGAGGAACTGGAACACGAGAGATGGAGTTCTTATGATAACTTGCCAGGAGTTCTTGTGATAACTGTCACGGAGTTCGTCGGACATTTTTTTGTTTATACTACAAAAACACCCGTCTTAAATGGTTATTTTCATCTTTAAAAGAATGAAATTGAGGTGCTAAATTAAATTTTAATGAATACATCTTTTATTGTATGTGTCAAAAACTAATTTATAGGCCATTTTCATTGCATCTTGTTTAATAATAATAATAATAATAATAATAATAATAATGATAAATAATAATAATAATGATAATAATAATAATAATAATAATAATAATAATAATAATACAAGATGTTAGGCAAGCTTAATCAGTTAAGTTGAATTTAGCACCTAAAACTCATTTTTAAAGATGAAAATAACCATTTTTACGGGTACATTTATAATATACAAAAGTTTACTGACGAACTCCGTGACAGTTATCACAAAATATGATAAACAAGATCGACAAGGAAAGGCGGCATTCAATGAAGCATCCCTACCACCGCAACAGCCCAGGGCAAGAAACCGGAGGACCTAAGAAAAACAGCAGGGCACAAAGCAGTAGTACGGGCAGCAAACCACTACATCAGAATAAAAACTCATGACAAATTGTCATTAACGTAGTATCGAGCTAATGTAAAATAAAAATTACAGGCTGATTCATTTTTAAGCTTTGTGTTGTGACTTCCGTCGGGAATTTTAGTATTTTGATCGAATAAAGTATTCTTTTTTCCAGACGTTCGGATTAGAGAATATAATCTCTTCCAAAAACAAGGAAAAGGAAATTTTTGGTAACTCTGAAAAGTGCATTGTTCCAGGCTACGGGCTTACAGAATGGAATGAAGGTATTGGTAGAATACATTATAGTACATAAAATACAATTTTTGAACATTATTATTATACCAAAGTTCTTTAAAATATCCAATCAATTACTAGGGCGTAGAAATTCACTTTGATAAAAAGTATTGTGTGTTATTTAGTTTTTAAATCCTACACACGGAGCCTCTAAGGATTTTCTGCAATTTTTCTCCCGGCACTTAATTCGTAATCACGAAATATTAATTCTTTTTCACGAAATAGTAATTAGTTTTAAAGACATAATAATTAGTTTTTTACTAAATATTAATTAGTAATTCAGGAATATTAATTCGCTTTTACGAAATATTAAGTAGTTTTTTATGAAATAATAATTCTTTTTTTTTATTACGAAAAATTAGTTCGTTTTTACAAAATATTAATTAGTTTTTACGAAATATTAAATAAATTTGTAATTACTAACTATTAATTCGTTCTTACGAAATCTTATTGAAGGTTAGCTTGATAAAAAACTCTACAAACCTAACAATCAAAAGGGGTCATTTACAAGCTTGGATCAACATTGCTACCAAATATAACGATTATAAGCCGAATTGTTTTCAAGTTACTTTATTTAAGTGAACATGTTTTTTTAGTTCTCATTCTCAGTTCAAAATATCCTCTTTCACCCAATTTTCAAATACATATTCACACAGCTGGCAAACATAAAATGTTTCAATTTTTGAGAAAAATCTTTTCTGACATGTTTCTTTACCTTATTTTATCATACATATTAGTAAAACTTAAAGTGGTTTGCCTTCAGATTTTCACTCACCTTGTTAATTTAAAACTCAATGGATTTGAATCGGAGACACCAATTTTAACAAAGTTTCCTAGCGCGTATATTGTACACTATCACGACTTTCGCGTCAACTCAATCAACTGACGATTATTTTAAATAATTAGACACCGCGTGCACGCGGCGTCTTGTAGATAAGCATTCGTTCAGTCAGCAATGGAGAAAAGTTTAGTCTTGTTTTTGTTTATTGTTTTTTTGTTCTAACAAAAATACACATTTTTCAGATTTTCGGATAAAAATAGCTTTTCTTATGATCAACATGTCCCCGAGCTTAATGGAAATCACATTCTTTTTTTATCTTCTTTTCATAATTTACCAATAAAATAACGTGCCAATAAGTCAGTCTATATTATTAAAGCAGGAAAATATCGAGCGGGATATCCTGAGTTATTATCAATAACAACAAGAAGGACCGAAAAGTTGCAGTTGAGGAAATTAGGGTATATTAAGCGTAATTCCTTCAATTACCGTTGACATTAAAACTTAATTGTCCCTATTCGACTCTCTCGTTGTTCCAATACTATTGTACGGATCTGAAGTCTGGGGAATATATAACTGCAAAGAAATCGACAAATTGCATCTCCGTTTTTGTAAAATAGTCCTTGGTGTTCGTCCTCAGACTGCCAATGCTGATGTGCTTGGAGAGCTTGGTCGCTTTCCTTTATCTGTTATATGTAAAGAAAGTGCTCTTAAATACTGGTTAAATATAATGAAATATCCCGGGTCATTAGTACATACAATATTTTTGAAACAATGTGCTTTGTTACCTTATGATACTATGTCTACTTGGTAATTGTCTGTTAAAAACAACTTGATAGTCTTGGATATAGCTACTTATGGAATTTCTAAACCCTTTTTATATGAATTATTTCCCCAATTTTAAAAAACAAAGGTGCGTGATCCTTTCAAAAGGAATAACATAATAATAATTAAATTATATTTTTTAGAAAATTTCAAATGGGAGTTTAAATATAAAAATATCTAGTTTATTGTTAAAATAGCATCAAAGAAAAAATTGCTCGTTTTAGACTTTTTAAAAAATTGAAAGGGGGAGTTTTTCAGGATTGATCAATAAAATTTAAAAATTGTTCATTTAATTTTTAAATTGAATTAATTTTTTTTAGGTTTTAAAGTTTAAAAATTATAATGTTAATTTTCTTTTCCATGCTTAAAAAATTTTATAACTATTGTCTTCAAAAAATGATAAAATTTATTAGGAATATTCCCAATTTGTATCTATCTATGCGATTAAAAATTTGGTTTTGTTTTAATGTTTTGTTTAATTGTATTTATGTTCAATGTAAATTGTTTTATCTTAGCCATCCTTTTGTATAGAAAGTGTTTTACAACAAACACAGATACAGATAAGTGTAACCTTATATTTTGAAAAGTTGAATTGAAAATCTTAAATTTAGTCATTTAATTATGACTCGGTCAGTCGGGAGTATTTCTTGACACTGTAGGCTAGAAGGATTTGTTATTTTTTAAAACCTTTAGGTGTTTAAACCACATGTGTGAAATACGAAAATAAGATTATTTTGAAAAAGTGCATTTATCAGTTGAAATAATTATCAGGGCTGGGAATCAAAACAGCGCCGTATCCTACAAAATGTAAACAAACGCCACCATCTTGGAGCGAAAAAATGTATGTTTTTGTTTATAACTCATTTTGTTCGAAATGACTGAAAACTAGATATATGTATTAACACGCTACACTATTTTCTGCTTCGTTCGGTATATATTGCTTGCACAACTATTTTGTAAAACAAAAGTTATAGCGAACTTGCAACTCGAAGCGGGCAGAATTTTTATTAAAATGTGTGGATACGACGCAGTTCATACTGCTTTATCTATCGTTTTTTCCTTCAAATCAATTATATACCCGTTTTCAGAGTCCGTAATTTTGTTGTTATTTTGAATTTTGAATGCAAGTTATGAACCATGTTTGCAAATCTTTTTTCGTAGTCGCCTTCTTGGGTTATTTTAGCATGCATTATTTCTATACTGTATATACTGAATCATGGCCACCCAGGCCCCAAAACGAGCCCCCCCCCCCACAGTCAGCTCGGTCCTATTCTAACTCGGCACGTGCCATCTCGGCCCATAATTATATATATATTTCTGGCAATGATTATTTTTATTACTTTTTTCGTGTTTTCATCATAACTGTCATTGTTCAACATTTTCACAGTAACAGACTTCTACTCAAGGATATTGAAAAGTTTTATTGAAGACAGTACCAATTGGTATGTGAATTTTGAGAAAGGAAGAATTTACAATTATATGCATGTTTTACCTACTTCAGATTTTTTTTTTAAAAAGTAAAAAAACCCCTTGGCGGATTAAAAAACAAGGTTTAAAAAAAAAAATTTTTGCATGAAATTTTTAATATAAAATTTTTTTTTATCAATATTTCATATTATGAAAATACAAAACAAAAAAATTATTCTGTTTTGGAACAACTCAAAAAGAATTTGCTATTTTTTTATTTAATTTATGGACTTTAAAATCATTTTGGGTGCTTTGATTTAAAATCAACATTTTAATTTACCATTACTGTTTTAACCCTGGGGTTTAGGTTTTAAAGATTTAGAAAAAAAAATTGTTTAATTTTAACCCTTTCAAAAAAGGTTTATTTTCATAAATGATAACCAAATCCTTTAAACCCTCTAAAAATATTAAATCGTTTTTACGAAACATTTTTTCGTATATACGAATTAATATTTCGTGATTACAAATTAGGTCCATGGAATAAAAATGTGGAAAATGTAATCTTAGGGTCTCTGTACCTACACGTGTCGGTGTAAAAACAAATGTTGCAAAAACACCAAGAATAACAACCTTCTATAATCCCACACCCAAAAAGACGCAGGCATTTTAATATATGTCATTCTAATTTGTTTTTATTGTCGCTATTTCATGGTTTATTTATTTTTTCGGTTCATGTATTATATTTTTAATTTTTAATGCGATGATGGTCCAATCGTGATTTTGTTTTCTGTTCAATAAACCAATTTATCCGACAATGAACATTTTACAGAAACGGAAAAACTGCCGAGCAAATTGAAGAAGTTTGTTCCACAGGTTAGACAACAGAATGAATGTGAAAAATTTACCACAGACTATATGAAACAGACGTTTCTGTGCTCAATTAATGATGACCTAACAGCAGTGTGTATGGTAAGTCAGCGTTCGACTTCCTCTAAAAAATTCAAAAGCTGCTTTCAAATGCAAGTTTAAAATGGTAGCAGAAATGTTTAAAATTTGTGTTGAAATTAAATATTCATTATAATTGTTATTCAAATATTGTAAAGGTAGTATAAATTGCCGATTTATCTTTCCGATTTCGATTTCAAATAAAAGCAGGTTATTGCTTACTGCACCCATGCCACCTTTCTGAGCCATAAAAGCAAGAACGATGCTAAATGATCCTCCACTTCACCCAACCCCCGAGAAAAAGGGTAAAAAAAGAGAAAAAAGTCCCAAAAGAACGCACAAAACGGCAAAATTGAAAATGTTGCAGTCTCGGTTTTATTGAGCCTGTTCATGGACGTTGAACTGTGCAAGTTACCATCCACGCCCCTAGCACAGCCGTAAGCAGTTTTCAACATTTAAAGCAGTATTCAACATTTAACCTGAAAGACTTATTCCAGTGTGATTGCCGAAACACATGTGGCCTGGTCCTCCTGGGCTCCTTGCCGCTAGTTGTGGTTACTGGTTCATGAGGGTTTTTGGCGTTCATTGAACGCTGCCATTCCTTGTTGATCTTGTTTATCATATTTTGGTTTTTACTGTATATCTGCCGCAGACAGAGTAATATGAAAGAAGTTAACATGTTGAATACAATACCATTAGACACAGAGAATGCATTACCACTTTACAATAGGTTAATTGATTGAGAATAAATTCGGGTATAAAGGAGAAATTGACAAAGGGCTATCATTTATTTGTTGTCTTTTTTTCCAGTATGATGGTGGCACCCCTTTGCTATGTAAGAAAGGCGGTAGGTTGAAGTTGTATGGCTTGACAACGGCAGGGACCAAGTACTGTTCAGTGGGTTTGAGTGTCTTTACCAGGATGTCACGTTATTATGGGTGGATCAAACGCAATGCAAACCTTCTTAAGTGAAGTGTTTGTCATAGTTAGCATCAACCTATCAATAAATATTTCCAAGGTTCAAAATAAACCGTTTAGCAGCATTTTTCCTTTTTTCTTTCATTATTTTATGAAATTATTTTATCGTTTGATTGAGTAAAAATAGCATTCCCCAGTAATATTATATAAATAACACATGGGTTTGTGGGTAACAGTAAAAATATCATCCCGAGGAAAATACTGTTACCCGAGGCGTAGCCGAGGGTAACAGTATTTATACGAGGGATGATATTTTTACTGTTACCCACACACCCATGTGTTATTTATTTTATTACCCCGAACAAATACTGTGATGATCTGAATTTGTCAACTAAATCCAACCGTTACAAAAATAAGCCAAGAGAAGCAATAACTAAACTGTCCTTACCTTGCAAGTTTTAAGTGCACTGTAGGCCTACTTGAGAAGCTGTTTTTCTTTTATCCTTTAGGCAAGTGATGATATCTACCAGTCATAAACATAAAATAAGCTGTGTTTTATTCAAAAATCAAAACACTAACCCATTTATAAGGTTATGATCTATGAAATCTGATCCTTCTGCATCCAGAATATTCTTCGCATGGTTTTTGACAAAGTGCATTTAGAAAATAACGATGGTATCCTACAGATGTCTGTCCACCAACTCTATCTGTAACGTTTCACTGGTTAAAATTGTAAAATTATCCTTTGTTGCATGCTTTAATTGCCTGCATGTTCCAGTTTGACACAAAATTATTTACATTACAATTACTTCCGTTGAAAAAGATGTTTCCTGTTGACTATTCAACAAAAAGATATTTAATACGCGAAAGGGACTCCAGGGTGCAAAGAACTAAATTTTATCAGAGTAATAGTTACTTCGGCGATGCCCTATCGTCGAAAATAAAAATGAATCGAGAAAAACGGCGGCCATTTTATTTCATTTTATTTAGAAAATAGACCACGTGACCAGTTTTTATACTGTTAAAAAATACTGTTACCTATGTAACAGTACAAAATTCGTAGTCACGTGGTACACTTGCATTAACAGTAAGAATAACTCCCAGAGGCCTATGGGAAATTAACATTACGAAAAAAGTGAGGGGTAATAAATAGTATTAAACAAAAGACAATCCACTGCAGTAACATTTCCCTCTAAATAAAAGATAGCTTAGGAAAACAACTTGTTCGGAATAATACCAACATGGTATGCTTAGAGGCCAAGGAAATGTGTTTTTATTTTCGGATACTAATTTTATAAAAGGTTTTGTATAAAACAACGAGAGAAAAGTTTTACTTTTTTATAAACTCTATATAATTAGAAAATGACTATAAAATTTAAATGGGTTGTAGTAGAATAATGAACGACAACGTTCGTGAAAACCGCCCATGCCGTTAAGCCTGGGTAATAAGTTACAAGACATACAAACAATAGTATTATTATGCAAAAAAAAAGAGAGAAAAAAACCCAGAAAAAACAACAACAACAAAACAACAACAACAACAAATTGATGTATTTTACATTTCTAATATGCTAATATAGAAGAATTGTTAGAAATACGTTCAACTGCATCAAGCGGAGAAGTAAATGTTATGACGCCATTTGGGTTATTGACGTCAGATCACGGGTATTAGATATTTTTTAATATATTCTTAAGAGGGAAGAAAAAATGTGGTTGAACTGGAAAGAAAAATATAGTATATTGCATCTATCACAGTATATATACTAGTTAATAAATCAATATTAATATATGAAGGTTTAGTTTATATGCATCGCCTTGTTGCTGAGGGGTTGCCTTGAAGAAATCGAGGCATCAGAATTATATTGCAGCCACAATTTGCCCCGTGTTCGTCCGTAAGAGGCGATTAAATGGATTCAAATTACTGTAGACTATAATGCATCTCTAAGCTACAGCAGGTGAGGTGATTTTGACCCACGGAGTTGCTTTTAATTTGTAGCACCACAGGTTAGCTAAAACCATTTTTCTGTTCCGGCGCCATATTACTACAATAACATTGTTTTAGTGCGGTGCGACGTAAAACCTAACAGACAAACAAAATTAATTATTTATACATGTATCGATCAGATACTTTTTATAAGCTTCTGAATAAGACGTTACGCCTTTAATTTTTTATCATTTTGTCCCCATCAGATGTTTGTTTGTTTGTTTTTGGTTTTACGTCTCTTCAACACAGTATAGGACATATCGCGACGTTTCAGCTTTACTGGTGGAGGAAGACCTCAGGTGCCCTTCCGTGCATTATTTCAGGCACGAACAGGCACCTGAGTAGAACCACCGACGTTCCGTAAGCTAGCTGGATAGCTTCCTCACATGAAAGAATCCAAAGTCCCTGTCGGGATTCGAACCCACAGCGGTGAGGGGCAAGTGGTTTGAAGTCAACGACCTTAACCACTCGGCCACGGACGCCCCTAGAGTTCACACATGCATTGGTAAGTTATCATAACATAATTATTCAGAACCCAAACTTTTATGCGGATGTCAAGAATGTATATCAGAAATTTATTGTCAAAATACAATCCGTTATAAGAAATGCCAAATACAAGAACCTTGTTTTATCTCATCAAGCATAATATAGCATAAGTAAATGAAAATGTTTGAAACAAGTTACAAAACAAGAAAGCTATTTATACGAAATGAAATGATTTCAATCACAATGTTTAATATATTTCTTTATTATAACAAAAGTTTGACAATATAAAAATCTGGAAAAAAGGATCATGTTTGATCGAGTCTATACATTAGGGATAATGAAAAACAGCAAGATTCCTCCTGTCCCCTTCCAAGAGATTGAACGGTACTCAGTTTTCAACACTTAAAAGTGCCGGAATCAATGATTTCGGATGACCAAAAAAATATAACAACATTGATGTGAAGTACAATGTAACTTTTTAGAAATGCCACACGGCACTTGACACCTGCTGTTGTGAAGAATAAGGGGGCAGGGAAGATATTCGTATGATGGTCAAATTTATTAATAACACAGACATGGTGTTTTAGGTCCTGAAAACTTTTGATATCTTATTTGTGTGCAGGAAATAAGCATCATATCTTTATTTTTACCCGAAACTAATCATTTTGTTAGCTTTGCATGTATTTGTGACTCTCTCCGAAAATCAAGTATTAACAGTTGCAGCCAAACAAGAAAGAAACTTTGGATAAATTTTGTGAAAAATCTAAACGTATAACAGACACTTTATTTAACATTTTTGAAAATGACATTGATTGCACTGTGTGTTATTTTTAAAGTAATCGGGGGAATTCTGGAGTATCCTGCACCTTCATGAAGATTGTCCATATTTGTATATTTCAGAGGTGGGCGGGGGTTAATATATATTGCTGCCAGTCATTATTCTTAGCAGCAATGCATGCAAACTATATTTTTCTTCAATGTATGTCGTCATATGTCCTTAAATAATGCTGTGTAACTGGTTAGCTGCCCGTGTAACAGATTTTGAAATATTTTGATTTGTGTTTCTGGTCACACTTAAATACAAAATTGCTCATTTTTAGGTCCCCTAAATAACTGAAAAGCGGTGATCTCTCGGAAGCAATAATCACAACGAAGTTACTTGAAAATGGCGGACTCGGTTTGATTAAGTTATGTACATAAGGGATAATGAAATATAATGAATATAAATTTGATATAATTTTAAACGGATAAAACAATCACTAATATTTGCATTTAACATTGTAGTGAAAGGCAAGTGCCATGCATTAAACAAATACAAAATTCAATCATATTTCAATGCAAATAATCCAGAAATACTAGTATTTTTTTGACAAGGCACCGTAATATTTATATTAAGTTTTGCTCAAATGCATTAATCCATAAGGGAAAATAGATTTTAGTTATAGATGTCGGGCAGAAATTCTCTCATACATATGTCAATAAATCAAATATAATTTGTTAACATTTCTGAAAGGTGCTATACTTGGATGTCCCTGACGTGCATTTGTCTTATCTAAAAGTCCTGAATAATCTTGTCTTCAGAAGAACATTATCTTGTCTTTTGCAACAATTTGAACATATTATGTATTTTAAATATATCACATGTCAGATGTACTCTTTAAATGTGTCAACTTTGTCAGTTGTCAGGAATATTTCTGTGATATGAATATGTCTTTGAAAGAATATAGAAAGGCAATAAGAAACATTTTAATCAAAATCAAAGGATATTGTCTGTTTATAATCCAACACCAGGAGAACAATTTCATGCCGACCAGATTAATCTTACATTATATATCATAGAACTAAGGCAGTTAAACATTTTTATAAGAAAATATCTTTTATTCTGGTTTAATTTGTTTATCCTTTTTCTGGCAGGAATATATGTTCGATGTTCATGAATTAATGATTATTGTCTCTTAAATGTTGCGCATGTAAACATATAAAACCGTTCTCCACGCAACCGCCATAAATTTGGTTTTCTTTAGATTTCTCACTAATATCTTTGTAAGTTATGATTACGTTCATGACGCCGATATGAAAGGTTTATATGTGAAAGTTCATTCATATAAATGCAGATAAACAGTTAATCATCGTATTTTGTCTTTATTGCAAAAATCTAAGTGTAAGAATAAAAAACAATCTATAAGTACATAAAAAAGACAAATGAAAATAATAATTTGTTCTCTAACGTTATAACTTTGACGTCTACTTAATAAATTTCCGGCATATTATAGATCTATCTGTTTATCGTGAAAATCGAATAATTATAAATAGTGACAATGGCTAGTCACACTAATTAGTACCTTGTCCGTGGTAGTACTGAAAAAAGAAACATTGTAGAAAATGCAAAGGGCAAAATATTTAGTGTTTTAAAAACGCCATAAAAAACATCTGTCTCTTCTCGTTCTTTGCTTTATTTTTCAAAGTTTTTAAAAACATAATTTGAGTATAATTTGTTTTTTAAATGTGACCAATCTCCACCAACATGTTCAAAGGGACATCCATCTTTCGCTTCATTTTTTGTTCTTTAAGTTGTATGGATTTTTCAATGTTTATTTTTTTGAATTATTTCAATATATTTCTGTTCTTAAATGTCTCGATACATAACGTTTAACTTCACAATTTTTATTCAAACTAATATCATATACAGTATTATTTGTAACAAGAGAATTGGAGCTGTTAGATTA